ATTGATGAAAATATCAAACTATTGAAAAATAACCTCAGATATTAAAAATAAGTTAAATTAATTTAATGTACATAGTTATGTTATAATTAGTTAATTATCTTAAATGTAAAATAATTAATATTCAAACTCAACAGAACGCAATAAATTATTTTAGTATTTACTTTTAATTTCAAAGCTTTCAATTGTAAATTATTTATCTAATTTTTATTTTTATTGAGTGGGGATCGTAAAAACCTGTAATAAAATCAGACAATATTGATGATAATAACGATTGACTAAATTATTATTTACAATGATAAAAATAAAACATCATATGTACGTTGCACGATCTATATAAATAACCCTATGTGAATGCCTTTGAACTCACGAATGACGTGTAAACATCTTAGCTGCAATGACTTTGATTGGAATATAATGTCAATAGGTTAGGGAAATTTGTATAATAATGTAACCAATAATCTTACAACATCACGATATACTTATACATAAACCTATGTATAATAATAAAATATAAACCTATATACACACTTATTACACAAAATGTCTTTATCAATATTTTCTTTATCACGAATTCACACACAAATTTTAATAATTATTAAATATTCAATATAACAGAACTATTTAAAAATAAAAATATATATAATATAAATTAATACCTTACTATATATATAATATTATTAAATATTCAATATAACACAAAACTTTCCTCCGTAAAAGTAATGCTAGCGATCATGCAGGCGTATGTTGGGTAACCTGCGCGATACCGTGCGCAGCCTCCTACACACACACACACACACACTCATGCAGTTACATCCCTTCAATCTTATGAAAACATTATCTGCAAATTTTCTGGTCATCAAACACTATATTATATTTGCAGAGTTGTCTTCAATAATTTAATTTCGTTTTACTGCATTGGTGTTTATTCAATTTGAATTTACGCATACATAAAAACGTAGAAATGGCATATAATTCAACAGTCCTATTTTGTTTAACCCGCTCCTTATTCAGTCACTGTCTGTGTTTACAGTGTTTTATGGTATGTATCATACAGCGTGTTAAATATTCCGGTCATCCATGATTATTTGGTTTCTCTGAAATGAACAGGTCCAACAGACTTCTCAATGGGCTACAACTAGTTTACGCACTTTTTAAATTAAGCTGTTAAAACGTAGAACTCGTCTGCGCACAAATAATTGTAGATGTACCACTCGTTTGCGCAATACATATTATACAAGGAACGACTCGATTGAGCAGCAATAGATAATAAAGGATTTATCTATGATTTTCGACTGCTCGTTACTTCGATAAACTTTATCAATATTTATTGCACATGAACAACAACTAGAAAGGTACTGTTGTATTGAAATCACAACGTATTTTTCAACTTTAGTTCCGGACTCGCACAACAAACACAGAAATATGAATTACGAAATACCGAATGTATAATATGCGTCGCCGGTAAAATTGTGATTCTATTAACAATATTAAATTTTCAAAGCACAGAGAATTAAAATGTGGTAATTTTATTCCGGTGTATCAATTAAAATAATAATCGATGACTACGTCAAATACTCAGTTTAATTATTATTAACTATAAACGAACATAATCACAGTGGATATTCTCAAAACCCAAGCTGAAGATAAACCAAATCCGAAGTTCTGTTGAAGAAGGCCATTGAAGAAATTCATACGCAACCAAGTACAATTACGTATTGAACAGTTATTATTAAAATCTGGCTATAATTTTAAATCATGGTGACATTCACTTATTACGAAATTCAATGTATGCAACTGTTGCGTCCGTTATGTCAACGTCGATACTTATATCAACGTAGAAATAGAAATACTAATGTTTGCAAGTCAAAGATTAAGTCTTTATTAATACAATTAACTCGTACAAGAATACAATTTATAAACTGCAAGATGGTGTGGTGGTGTTGCGACCTGCCTCTGAAACGCGATAGACGAGACCGTGGTGGTGTACGACCTGCCTCTGAGCGTCTCGGAATATCTAACAAATCTGCTAATCTTGCCTGGTCTCCTTATATGGTTAACCGTCAAAATTGGTGACTGAAGTGGTATTTCAATGACCTAAAGGAGCTCTCTAAATTAAATGCATCTTATTATTCAGTTGGGTGCCTTTCCTGCGATTTCATCTGGTTCTACAATTACAAGACGTGTGATGAAGTCTTAATTATCAAATTAAATAGTACAATGTTAACACTGTTGTTTACTCATCATTTCTAAGTAAGACGTGTGACCATGTATTCATTATGTTAATATGCTATGTGCAGGTGTTCGCCCTATCCGTTGGTGCTACACTGTTTGATATTATCCCATCGGTATCCTCTCAAACAATATATACGTGTAAATAACACGGTACGTAACACAACAAAAGAAAAACATTCCAGAAACTCCCAAATACTTTGTTAGTCGACATACACAACTATGCGTTTATCTTCTTATATTCAAAAACTGGAAAAATGGTTCATAAGTTATTTCCAATTCAAAACGAATTCCAAATTTTTGTTGACTTCTGTATTTTCTGCTGGTAAAATATAATTATTGAATATTTTTATATTAATAATAAAATTTAATTGGCTCTTAGAAATCAGAGATAGACCAGATTTTGTATGTAATCATTCAGCATTCTTAACCATTTTGTTTGTTTTATATACGTTCAAGTGACCACCAGAATGTTGGCGTAATTTCAAGTCAGTCTTTATTGAACCTGTTCAAACTATTCTTACAATTAGTACAAAGCCTAAAAACTTGATCATTACAAGTTTCCACTAAACTTAAATAAAATTACTTATAAGTTATAACGTATAATATATAATTTATAATCTAAATTGGTAACATTATACTTTTATATATTTTAGAATTGGTATTGCTCTTTTGTGAACTTTTACCATTCACTTAGTACACACATTTTAATATAAATTAATATTATATTTAACCATTAATCGTAACTATAGGTGTATGTTTATGAAAAATATATCTTATAATAATAAAAAGCAAACTGTGAATATAATTCAAGTATACAACTATAATTTGTTAATTAGATGTTATATTGAAAATTAAAGTGTATGTTATAACTCAAATTATATAGTATTTAATTGAGTAGTAAAAATAATATATACTATTTATATGTTTACCAATTGTTACTTATTTTAGAGTCTAGTTTATTATTAAGTTCTTTGTTTATTCAAATTTAATATGAATATTTATGTAAAATTTATGTTGAAACAATTAAGACTTAAATAACAAGACTGATAATGATAATATTAACTATTAATTCAGAATTTAGAACTTCATAAGACTGTATTTGTAGAAAAATTCATATTATTTAAAATAAAATTTAGCACGCTTTTAATAAAATTATTTTTTTTATTTCAACACATTATCAAATACGACGACTTTTTATAATACAAAAGTTGTATAACATTAGTAACTTATAAGTCACGTTAACCACATTTTATGCCAATAAAATAATATATACCATTTGTTATTTAAACATATTATTTTATGTAATATTTTTATACAATACATATATTAATTAAGTCATACCTTATGTGTAATATTTAATAACCGAATTCTTTAAACATTACGTTTCAGTATAATTTAATGTAAATACTTTTACAGTTTTGTTTTATTTAGCATGCGTCATTTTTCGCGCTATCAATGCAATCACAGACAAATATTTAGTAATATAGCATCTTCTTTCGGATCAATCTTCTTTTCTATATGTATTAAAATATAATTTTACTATAGGCGTCATAGTATAATATTAACTTTTAATTCATTTGTTTATATCATGCATTTTTTAACTATCTTAAAGATTATTGTTTAACCAAAAGTGTTGGTGATTGTGTATCACTTCCGACTTGATTTTATTTTTTTTAAAAATTAAAATTAAGATCCAAATCTTAAAAATGATATCCTACCTTAGACGTTAGTATTTATTGATGATGAAAAATAAACTTTAATTTATAAAAACTAATATGGCCAAAGAAAATTACAAAACTTGACTGACCAAAAGAAAATAATATACAACTCGTATTAATCTGCCCTCTACTCTACTACTGACAAACAAAATTATTTTTGCTGTTGTAAATATGACGAAATAATTTATAAAAAAAAAAAAAAAGTGAAAAATGATAATAAAACCAACAAACAATATGCTAATATCGTAGAAAGATTAATCCCAAATTTTTATGTAAGAAAATGTAAAACATAATACTATTTATTTATTGCATAAATAATGTATCCCTCTGTATTGTAATAGAATTAAAATTTTATTCGTTAGAAATCTCATGTACATCTTTAATATATTTGAATATTTAAATTTTATGGTAACATACAATATAATTTATGTAACTAAACTGATAAACTATTGTAAATAATATGTATTACTATTTAATACTTATAATTATAAACTATAAAATGTAGTTTAGAAACTGAGAATATACTTAAAACAAATACCAGTGAATTGATAATAATGGTAAAACAGTTGTTAATTGGTGTGTAGGATATGCGCCTCATATCATTGTTATTCTCTTGGTATAAACTATAAAATGTAAATAGTAAAAGCTGTTTCAAAATATTCGAAATGTAAACTTAATATCAGCTTAAAGTCATGTCACTTTTGTAAGTATGACGAGAAAAAGCTGTGGCTTACCAAGACTTTTCAAGTGTGTGGAAACAAATAAAGTAAATCAAAATTTGATATAATTTACAATAAATAATAAATGTTAATAATCATATGCTTTAATAAATTCTAAGAGTTTCAAAATTTAATTAAATTTAAATATATTTCATATTTTCATTTTACTTTTACATACCTATGTATACCATTTAACATTATTAATTAATTTAACATGTTTGTTCCACCTCACATTACATTTTTTCATTTCGATTGTTAAAACAAATGTCTTTAAAATAAACACATAAAATATTTATTCATTTGTTATAATGTATATAATCCAAAATAAATAGGCACTCTTATAGTGTATACAGTATCATAGTACCTAAGTTGAATGCGATCATTTTAAATTTGTTCTTCGAAAATCATAGTTGTAATTATCAAAGCTGTTATACCTTTGTAATTATCAAAACAAAAAAAACGGCTATGATTCCATATAAAGTTTTAATAATATTAACTTTTACAATTAATATAAGCCACTGTGAATATTCTGAAGAGGAAATTAAAAAAGGTAACGAACAACAATTAGTTTATAAAATATATTTTACCTATTTCTAAATAATTGAAAACTGTTGATTAAAAAACTTTAAGTATAAATTATGTTATAAATTTATTATTTAAAAATGAAACATCATCACTGTTAATTTAGCATTTTTATTATTTAGATAATTGTTGTCACTTATCAATAACTATTAACTTTTCATTCGTTTAAGTTTTATTTGAAATTAAAGGTCCAAATTTAAATTTGAATGGCACTAATTTGTAAATTTAAATTTCCATTTAATTCCTAATTATAATTGATTCACATGTAATATTTAATAGGTTATATATTAATAAGTTACAAAAAAAAAAAATTCTATAAAGTAATAAATATGGATCTTTAGATCTATTATATTTTACCTTTCTATATATTTTATCCTAAGACCACACAATGAGCGAGTAAATTCCGGCCTCAAGCGCCTACGAAAATTATGACTGACATCTTTACTCTGTGATGTATTGACGTTAATACCCAAATAGTTCATAGTATTATTATGTATATCAGACTCAAATATCCAGTGATCGTCTTTAAAGTTGACACATTGAATGAGAAAACGAGATGTTGACAAACGAATTGAAAGTTATAATATAATAATTATACTGCTAAATGAAGATCGGTCCCTCTTTTTTTGTTTAAACATAATTTCTGTTGTTTTATTTATTACATTTGTTTGTTACTGTCATCATAGATTTTATTATTGTATTATTATTACTATTATTATTCACGCAACCATTACTAATATATTCTGATATTTGTATTCAAAGCTCATATACCGATAATTTTTAATAAATAAATAAATTATATTTATAAAGTAATGTATAGTAATACATATTATTTAAACATGCTTATTTATTTAGAAATATAAATTATATTGATTGATTTTAATTTTGAATATTAGTATAGTATTAAAATATTTGAACATAAGAACTTTTTAACTCTGTGTTCCTAAGGGTGCCTGCATAACCAAAGACGAGTGTGTATGCACTTCACAAACACATTCAAATATAATTTGATTTACATACAAAGATACTGTAAAATTACACAGTACAATTCATGTTTACACATAATATAGCGTTCATACTCGTATACATATCAACGCACTTGTATGTGTATTCATAAAATAAAACGCAGAATATTAAGTCGTATGCAATTTAAACAAAAAATAATAATACGTAAAAAGTACATAGACTTTACCAATTCATCCGATTTAAAATATGCAAAATATATAAATGATAAATCCCAGGATCAACCATTGTTTTATATTATAATTTATAATATACGTAATACTAAACATATTTTAAATATCAAATCATAAACTTAATGCATATTTTATTTTTGTTTTTAGAATGCAAAAGTAATGGATTTTAAATCAGTAAATTACAGTTGTATTGTAGATATGAAATAACTATGATAAAATGGATTTATTATATTATGTACCTACTTAACTTACTTTTATAATATTTCAAGCTTTATCTTATATTAAAATTTAAGCATTCATATTTATTAAGTTAAACTTATTTATTTAATTTAATTTTTTAGTATGCGCTGGTAAGATATTTATTTATGTCAGTATATGTTTCATCATACATTTTATAATATATTTGTATAGTATTGTTTTAAGATTCCAAGGGGAGCAATACATTGTTAATTTCGTTTAAATATAAGATTAAATATTTATATTTTTATTATTATTTCTTAAACGTTTAAATTGAAATTATCTATAGAATTCGTCAAAATTTCAAAAATTACAAATTATTTTGAAGTTATAAATTCATAAAAATGTTTCGGTTTGTGTCTAACATAACATTAGGAATGTATAATAACTTAAATTGTTTTTAATACAGTTTATTATGGAGCTACTCATTATTAGTAATTATAACGATTATTACGCACCTGGCGGGGAAAAACGAAAACTGATCGAAACTCGAGCTACATTGGGCGTTGCCGCCGACCATTTTGGCAATTGCAATTCTCTGTCTATTACGACGTCGTCGACGGCGACGACTATAGCCGACTAAAAGCGACAAAAAACAAAGCAATTAGACTCTTCTATTTGACGGGGGTCCAGGCGTTGCTCTGCAGTTCATTTGGATGAGTTATGGCAGTGTGCCTTTATATGATTTGGAACGGTGTATATGAATTAATTTAAATTTTTCATAAAAACAAAGTGAAGTGATGAATGGATTTACTTGATAAAAAAATTTTTGTTGTCACCACCTTTTAGTGTCAGGTAATAAATACAGTTATAAATAAAAACAGTTTAGTATATTATAAATTATAAAGTGGCAAATTATCTTTTTTCATAGAATGCTTTATCATTTATTTCAAATTGGACATATACTGATACAGTGACAACCAGAGATTCGGACTCAATACATTTACATATTTGTTTGAGTAATAGATAGAAAAAATCTGATTCAGTACATGTTTGTTTTTTTTTTTGATTCTTATAAAGGTGTCAATTTCAATATTGATATTTTATTATACATATTGTTGTGTGCCAATATCAGATCCAGATCCAGATCCAGGGTGTTATTTAAATGAAATGTACAACTCATAAGAACAATAATGTTTTATTACGTATAAATAAAGTTCATGTAACTGATAAAAAAAGTGGCTGAGTGTCGTGAAGTTGCTCAGGTCTTCGTGGATATGGTACATCTGCCCTTGTTGGTCTCTGGACTCCCTTATATACAAAGAAGTGCTTTCACACTTGAAAACAACAATCTCCAGGATGTCTTGTGTTCTTAATTGGCAATTCGTATAAATGCCATAATATATTTAAACGACCTCTATTTTGATATATTTATTATGATGTTTTTAAAAACAAGATTCATAGAAATATGAATCTACTATCTCTTATATATTATAATTATTCGGCCACATAAATATATATCTAAATTACTAGTGCTAATACTTCTAGCAATATTACATTAATATACTTATACATATCATATCTCGTAGCCCATTACAATATTTATGCGCATTAAGTCCCGATCCCTGCTGATAACTGATGAATCACATTTAGAATTTAATGTACCTACAGCGAAATGGTTACCTACTTATTTTATAATTATCATGAAAACATTTTTAATTTAATTTTATGTTTACTAATATAATATATTTAATTTTGAAAACAAAATAACAGCCACTTTAAGTCTTGTTGGGTTTCAATGTAAGTATGCTTATTTATAGTGTCTATCAAAATTAAGTGTTATCAAATCAATTATTGTTATATTTACTGTATAAATGATCAAATATAATAATTGAAACGATTTTATAATTATTACCAGGTCTGTGAATTCAAAACAATGAAAATCCTTAAAAAATTCTTTTAAAATTTCAAAAATGTAATGAAATATGCATTTAAAATGACAAAAATTGTATTATCTTCGCAAACATCAAAAAGGTACTGAATGACAATAATCTACTAAAATTATTGATCAATCGATTTGGAAATTCGTGACTGATATACTGATATGCCACAAATAACTAGAAATATTGCCTTATTTTATTAAATTATTATATTTGATCCACATACAGCTTATGTAAAATATAAATTTGACGTTCGCACAACCTGTGTAAAATAAAAATATATTCTCAAAAATGTTAATTGTCAGAATTCGACTAAAAATAGGAAGAAATAAACTAAAATAAAAATATGACCTAAACATTTAAAAACGTCGAATAATTCAAAATAAAAGCTTCATAAATGGAACTTTTTTTACATAATTCAAATTCATAATCAGTTAAAAAAAAAAATACTTTCCTACAAATTCACATACCTAATTATTACAGATTTGTATTCAATACATGTTAATATAATAATTGTGAGATACATAAATCTCCATATAATATGAGAGAGTAATAAACACCTGATGTATTAAATGTATTTCTGTAGATAAATTACCACTTATAAATTACAATTTCGCAATGCAATATAGTAAGTAATTTAGTGAGGTTATAATTTATATTTTTAAAATATATTTGATGCCTAGGCATAAAAAAAATATTAGACAAATAATATTCGGCAACATCCATTACGGCGTGTATTAATTATCTGTATAATAAATGAATACAATATAACATGATTTTTTTTTTTTCCATTAATTGTGTGGTAACTCATGTTTGCGGATAACAATCATGAAATATTAGCTGTTAGTAAGGATAAATCTTTCACATTTGAATCACAATTAAGTAATCAATTAACCGAAGAAAATATAAACAAGGTGAGTTTTGTAAAATTATTTTAAATTTAATACTCATCAATTGAACTATCTTATCTAAATTAAAAATATTTATAATTTTAATTTTTTTTAAACAAAAAAATTAAGCATTTAGTCATTATAGTTCTCTAATCTATTAATATCTGCCTAAATACCTAATATTTAAAAAACTAATATAATAATAATTAAAAATAATTTACAATAAATCAAAACTTTCAAAATTTAATATTTAGCATTATTTAATTAGAGTTTCATGAATTGCTTATTTACATCTGTTCTTAACGTTTGAAACTTATTTTAATTTTATTAAATAACATTAATTTGACTAATCAACTATAAAATTGATATCTGACAACGATATCTTAATTAATTTTATTATTCAGAATGTCAATAATACACTTCAATTAGAAGATAAAATAATGAAGGCTTTAGATATAACCTTATTGTATTTAAAGTAACAAAGTGATTTTAACTCACGGTCTGCTATTTGTAGTTTAGCATTTCTTTGTTCTTTGAAATTATGTCATAATGATTATGGAGAAAATCTTTTTTTTATTTCATAGCTTCGTCAAATTTTAATACATTATTTCAAAAATCACAAATCAAATACATATTGTGTTTTACATATTTTATTTACAGCTAGAACAGGACTATGAAAAATCACTACTGTCAGATAAAAGAAAAGGTATGTTATTTAATACATTTTTATAATCGCTACAGACATAAATTATCTTTTATATATCTTAGCCAAAGTTTTAAATTGTTTGACTGATATGGGTGTTGTTGGTTAAGAACTATTGTTTATTACAACTGGTCGACAATTGCAGTTATGCAAACGTTTTTAATACCAACTTATTATAATATTATATAGACGATATAAATGTGTATATTTAAAAAATAACATTTTATAATTATAAATTCACATATTATCATTGTAATAAGCAAGTTTGAGTGTAATAGTTAATAAATGATAGCCAGATTATTTATAATCCCTAATATTACTAATTCATCATTGATGAAAGCATTTGTATTATATTATTATCCATAGAATTTGACACATATTTTTAAAAATAAGGAAACTATTAAATAGATTATAATATTTATGATTTCTGATAGATTTTATAAATGCGTACTACAATGAAATCATACATTTTGAGCATAAACGTAAGTATTATTCTTAAAATGTTTCTGTTTTTATAAGTGTGTTGCAAATTAATTATAAAGTTTGTTATAAATATGTTGAACTTATACTTGTGTTTGTATTTTTAAATTTATTATGTATTAAGTGAAAAAAAACAGAATCAAATAAAAAAAAATTTATTCATTTATTACAGTTACCCCGATAAGTCCAAGAGATTTTTGTATAGAATTTTGTGAGTAACACAATAAACATGTACATATAATAAATTCAAATTTTTCTAATATAAATTTTCCATCCTATAAATTAATACCAAAAAGAGATATGAATTTTTCAAACGTTAACAAAACGCGCAGTGGTGGAAAGTTCTACGGTTTATACTTTTAAAATAACAAAACAAAAAAAAAAAAAACTTTTATTGTTAAATTAATGATAGCTGCTTTTATTTAAATATCAAACGTTGTCAAAATATACGAACATAAACTTTATAGTGGAAAAATACGGGTTCAATGTTTTCGACGAATATCGAATTTGTGAGAAATTTAAAAGTAAAATACAATAACAATATCGTGTTTATATTGGATATTATAGCTTTTACCCTTTGTAGGTATTTCTCATAATATGCAAATGCCAAATACAAAACTAATAAGGTTATCTATACAACATCAAATTGCATAACTAAATTAATGTTAATTGTTCAAGTTTATTTTCATTGACGTTTGTATAGAGTATGACATAAACATTTTAACATGCTTTTTTATGCTGTTTCATTGAAATGCATTAAAAACATACGTATTTTGTGTTCAGTCAATGTGACAATAATTATTTGTCTTTTATCAGTTCTAGTCATTAAATACAATTAATTGAGAATATCTTTTATAAGGTAATTAAACTATTAGATTTTGACGTGGTTTTTCAAATAACTATCGTTTAAAAAAAAAAAAAGAGAAAACGCTTGTAACGGTTCACACCAGATAACAATGTAATTGCTTTATATTGATATATATATACGACCCTTTCTTTTTATAATAATGTAATTTATTCATCATATAATAAAATACATAAATATTTAAATACATATATATATATATATACATAATAAAATTACTTTTACAATTTACATTTTTTATGGGGTGAACAGGAATATTGTTTTTATGCCCGCTCAAATAAGTGGCGTCTAATTTGCAATATTTGTTCGAATTAGGCGTGGCCTAGGTAGGCGCGCTTGAGGGGACTTGTTTTTACACGGGTTGTCCTGAAAAGGATAGTTTTGGTTTCTTCGTGTTTGGCTCGTCCTACGATCCGTTCGATGTGTCCGTCTGGTGTAGACCACCTCTGGAGTTTTTCCGGGGCGCCGGATTATATCCCTATACCACGGATCTATGTGTGGCGCATCGAGTATCCGCGTCGAAGTTCTGGTTTACACCATTCTCCGACGTCGGATATAACGAGAGGTTACCACTTGATTAGTTCCGTGGACAGAGATAAATAACAGGTAATCCGTAACACCCAGGAGTCGTCGTGTGGCTTTGTGGAGATGCGTGGCGTGAATCACGCCCGGAATCACGTCGGACGTTGCTCGACGGTCGTGACTCTTGAATGTCAGGAACGTCGTTGTTTTTCGTCAGTACGATCAAAATGTGGCGATGCTCAATAAGAGTTGCACACGGGATCGTATCGGTCGTTATGGCTGGTAGTCACTCTTGAGGTTTCTTCTGATCTTCAATCTTCGATGTTTACTGGTGTAAGGTTGAAGAAGAACTGTGAATGAAACTGGTCTCACTGCCGAATCATACCAGTATAAGTACTACTATCCGTACCGACTAGTAAACACCTCGATATTTCGGTAGATCGTTGTGTTTTGTCTTGTAACGAATTTAGTCATATCTCTGATGTTTTTTGATGTACAATCATGAATAAAACATTGTTGTCTTTGTCTCATCTTCCCCTATCCGCCGATGTATGTATGATGTCTATATGGTGTACGGGAAGACTTGGATTTAACCCTTAAGTTCAAAATGTGGGGTTTTGCGCTCATCCTGTGTTATTATTGGTTGTCGTAATATTAATGTTTAGTTGTACCGTTTCACGCTTTGAAAATATAAATTGTAGATATGTACTATCTGATTGATGTTGTAATTTGTTATGTAAAGAATGTGTCGACTTTGTCAAGGACATGTCTACAAAAGTGTGAGAAATAAAAATATAAATGTATAGGTAAAAGTAACTTTTATTATTTAATTTTATTAATACCCTTAATTATCTATATTATGTATAACCTACTTTTTTTAGAACGATTGAATTTTTTTTATAATTAATTTCAAATCTACCAGAAATTTATAATGTTCCTTAATTAATAATGGTTTTAAAACATACTTAAAATAATCACCAGCAAATATACTAATGGATATGGGAAATACTATGGTTATGAATTTTAGTCAATAGTTAATTATGGTTGTAAAATTATATAGATACCACATAATATGTATTTTGCTAAATTAATGGTATTTAAAAAAATATGGTTTTTCACACCAACGTCTCTGACCACCGGTTCTCCGGCGACCGTTTCTATTATTTTTTTTGTCTTTTCGCCACCGTCTATCGGTACTTTTGTCGGCGTGACGTTATGACTACCTTTTAATACCGCGTGATCTGTGTGCATTACGTGTACGAGTTTGAGGTGTCTACACTACCCGTCGTATTTTAAGTCTACACACATCTGTTCGTAGTCAGTGACATACGATTACGTAAAATTTTGTGCGTCCAATGTTTAAAATTTAAATCAAATTAACGCCATGGTGAGTTCAACGACCCTCGACGCCACCATCAGTATCAATAGAAAAACTGTATCTACTACTATAAAACTTAATACCTATTAAGCGCGAGTCGTGTAACAAACTGCTTCAGCAAATACTTACGGCGTAAACAAATTAAATGTGAATTTTAGTAATATTCTTACATGCTATAATTTTTATTGTATCTATTATTTATTACACAATTTAGGTACATGTATATTATTTTGTAAATTGAGTTTATCTGTCAATAAATAAATAATAATAATGAATAAATATATCAAGTGTCCACGGTAATGTATATAATAATTTATAATATATTTATTTTAATAATTTTAATATATTCCTTGGATATATAATTCAATTTCTAGACGAGCACGCCCCGAACTTTAACTTTGCTTAAATTTAAGGAATAGTATATTAACAATGTGAATATTAATTAGACATTTACGTAAATACGTAAATAGTTAAATAGATAATAAATCTTTAAGCTAATGTTCGTAAATTACGTAATAAAAAAGCTTAAAAATAAAACAAGAAGGCTACAGATACAGAATGTTTAGAAATTCAACACTAGAGCTAAGATTTTAATGACCTCAAATTACACATAATGCACTAAAAACATATACAAAATGACCAAAAGTTCAAAATTTTACATTAACGAGAGAAAAAAATTTAATTTTAAAATAATTAATATGATAAATTATTATTTATTCATTTTATATTACATAAAATAGGTAATAATTTGTTAAAAAGTAAATTAAAGTAATATACTTAATTTGAGTTGACTTGTGAGTTTATCTGGTTCCTGATGTAATTATTCTAAAAACCAATTCAAATAATTGAATGAAAAATATATTATATTTATTTTCACTTGTACACATTATTGCATTGTATAATTTGATGGTTTTAGTTTTTCAAATAGAAATTGTGTCGGTGATCTGATAAAATGTTTTATATGAAGAAACTTCGTACTTCGGACTTCCTAATTGACTTATTTTGACTTTTTAAGATTTTTAAAGTATAAGATCTTTTAATATTAGTGTAATAGTATTATGTGTTCAATATTGGTGGAAACTTTATTGGTACAGAAATATTCTGGTATTCACTACTAAACTTTGTATATACTAGGGCTGAAGTATTGAATACTTTTCAGTATTACAAATATGTTTCAATACCAGTTTGAAACGTCGAAAACCGAAAGTTCTGGATACCAAAAACCGATATGGTACGGTATACCAAATAATAAAAAATCTAACACAATATTTTACTGTAATATTGTACACTATATTTTATATAATATTATAATCTGTATTATTCCATTGATACTAGAAAACAGCAAGTACTAACACGGCTAAATGAATAGGTATTTTATATCTCTATACCGTAGCAGATTGTATACCTACTTGTCCAATTTATTTTGTGCAAATTAATGTATATAACAAAAATTTCCAGATTTTTAAAAATTAATTTTACAATTACTCAAGATATTACCGATTCAAAATTCATTTTAATTTGTAACGAAAAGATGAACGTGAGTAATATTTAATACAGAACAGTCACTTAGTGCAATCATGGTAAAATAGTATATTTGTTATGATTAATAAAAATTGAAACTGTTTCAGATCCATCAGATTATTTTAGTCGAAATGAGTTTCCCCATTGATACGGAAATACTACTATAATAATTTGAAAGACTCTGGTATACCGAAAATACCATCAGGCTCTATAGTGATACCATAACGCCCTTACACACTAGAGTCGGAATATGGTTCACGCGCGATGCGATTTAATGATCACTACTAAACATGGATATTGTTGATCGTATTTATTTGCTCGCCTTACATAGGTGGTGTATGAATGATAAAAGTGAATAAAGCTGTATAATTTAAGCGCATGCGTTTCGACGATGTTAAATCAGCCGTTCGCATCGAACTTATTCGCCCTATCGAACTATAGTCTCTTGAATTCATTTGAATTTAATCTTATAACAAATCGGATTAATTTTTCAAATATCATGGACTGGAGTTGATAATTATAGCAATTTTACATATAAATAAAGCTACTAACATAAACTGTATTTAACACAATAAACCCAAAATAAAATTACACATTCTAAATACATTTTACATAACGAAACAAATTTAATTTTGATTAAATGATGCACTTAAAATTGCTCTATTTATAATCAGTTAAATGTTTGCAGATTTTCTAATCGTATGATTATG